CATCATGACCGATCGGTGTGGTCACCACCCCGTTTGGGGGCCCCCGAGCGGACATTGCCGCGAGGGCGCAACCCCAGGCCGCACCCGGTATGACGACGACGAGCAGGACGACGACGAGCAGGACGTCGACGTCCTCGTCCTCCTCTGGGTCTGCCTGCAAATGCTCGTCCTCACTTCCTCCGCATCCTCCTCCTCATCCTCCTCCTCATCCTCCTCGTCCTCTGCTTCGCCCTCGAGGACGACGACGACGACGAGCAGGACGACGACCTCCTCGTCCTCTTCCTGTTCAACCGTATTGCCCTTATTCCTTACCACCCTTGAGGACGACAGCGACGAGCGAACGACGACCTCCTCCTCCTCCTCCTCCTCCTCCTCCTCCTCCTCCTCCTCCTCCTCCTCCTCCTCCTCCTCTTCACTGGCGTGGGACTACCTAGACGGGAAATCATCATCGTCCTAGTGGGGGGAGGAGGAAGGCGAGGAGGAGGAGAGGAGGTTTTAGGATCGAGGGTCGAAGATAGGCTCGGGGCATTGGGGAGAGGCTCGAAGGTCGAAGATAGATCGAGGATAAAGGACCGAGGAGGGGTTTCAATAAAAACGATAACGTCGTCTTCGTCGTCCTCCTCCTGGGGCCTCCTGGTTTGGGCATGTATGGTCCAGAAGGGGTGGAGGAGGAGGAGGACGAGGAGGAGAAGGAGAAGGAGCAAGGGGAGGAGCAGGAGGCGAAGCATGAAGCAAGACGAGGGGGATAAATATGGATGTGCGCTTCCCCTGCGGGCAAACCACCACCTCTTCTCTCCTCCGAAGGAGGTCTCGAACAGAACAGTCGTTATGGCGTCACAGCTGGTCATCCAGAAAGAAGGGGGGGATTATTGGGGAAGCGGAGGATGGGCAGGAGGAAGCAGGAGGGGGAGTAAGAGATTGGAGGATCGAGGATCGATGATCGAGGATCGATGGTCGATCGAGGATCGAGGTGCAAGGGTTTGCGGCGATGGAGTGCGTTTTAAGGGGCCCTGAGGCACTTCGGGGATCGTGGAGGAAGATTTCTATCCTTGCTCCTCCTCCTCCTCCTCCTCCTCCTCCTCCTCCTCCACCTCACCATCCTCGCGCTCAGTCCTTCCCTCCCTCATCCCCTTCCTACCACCCTCCATCCTTTCCCCCCCAATCCTCCTCCTCGTCCTCAGAGGACTCCTCCTCCTGCTGCTCCTCCTCCTCCTCCTCCTCCTCCTCCGCCTCCTGCTTCTCCTCCGCCTCCTCCTCCTCCTCCTGCTGCTCCTCCTCCTCCTCCTCCGCCTCCTCCTCCTCCGCGGCCTCCCCACCTCTCGCTACCGAATTCCATTGCTCTCTCCGTCCCTGCATCCCTACGTGTGCTCCTTGCCCTCCATGACTTCTTCCTGCCCTCCCCGTCCTCCTCGTCACCCCGCAGCTCTGCATGCCTCCCGGCGGTGTCGGGGGCGAGGAGAGCCGACAAAGGGCGATTGGCTCAAGGGGCGAGGCATCAGCCCGGAACTTGCCGTCGCTCGGACGTCCATTTCCCGTGCATGTTTCGGTTCCGTGCGTGTTTTTTGGGCTCGATGGTCCAGGATGGTCCTCGATGTCTCGCCGAGAGAAAATGCACACGTCCGAGCGATGCCAAGGGAGTCGGCGGTAGGCCGGCGGCACGCCGCCGAAAGATCGGCGCCACAGCAACAAAACAGCGCAGCCGCACGCTCCCGGGGCAGAGAGGGGCACCCAGGCCCCCCATCGGCGATGACTGGGCGACCAGGCCCCGGGTGCCCATGCGTCTCCCTCCTCCTCCTCCTCCTCCTCCTCCTCCTCCTCCTCCTCCTCCTCCTCCTCCTCCTCCTCCCTCCCTCCCTCTCTCCCTCCTCCTCCCTTCTCCTCCCTCCTCCCTCCCCT